TTCAAACTACAAGAGAGGAGATTCCAACTGAATATGAGGAAGAACTTCCTGACTGTGAGAGCTGTTCAGCAGTGGAACTCTCTGCCCCAGAGTGTGGTGGAGGCTCCTTCTTTGGAAGCTTTTAAACAGAGGCTGGATGGCCATCTGTCGGGGGTGATTTGAATGCAATATTCCTGCTTCTTGGCAGGGGGTTGGACTGGATGGCCCATGAGGTCTCTTCCACTCTTTGATTCTATGATTCTATGAAAGTTTGGCAATGGGATATGCTACTGCCTTGGAGTGTGATAAAGCCTCTTTCTCTGAAGTTTTTAAAGTAAAGGCTGAATGGCCATCTCACCTTGTATGTTCACATTCATGACAGAATGGGGTTTGACTAGATGGTCCTGGGGGTGTCTTCCAGCTCTTCTGTTTGTATGATTCTATGATTCCCTGTATCTGTGAGTCGTACCTTCTACTCGTGTGAAAGAGATCAAGTGAGTGGTACCAAGGTTCCTCTGCAGGGGAGATGCTATAATTACTCTGAAATCATCCTTGTGACTCATTCACTGTGACATTTGCTGGCTGAGCTCTGTTTGGGAATGGCATTTACCGACTGAGCGGTGCAGTCACATCCGTTTAGATCAGCAAACCTAGTTCTGTCTTCCATTTCTTAGATGATCTAACAGTGAATCAAGCTAAAGAAACACACATAGGAAAGGAAAAGGGCAATTCTGTCAAAGCAAATCAGGTCTCATTCTAGTTTACTTCAGCAGCTGAGTTCAGATATCATACCTAACCATAGTTTCAGATAACTACAGTTAGAATTTTCTGGCAAACTTGGGATTTTGTCAACATTCTTTTATGTGAAGCAGAACAACAGAGCTATAATTGTTGTTTATTAGAGTCGTTGCAGGTTTTTTGGGCTGTATGTCCATGTTCTAGAACCATTCTCTCCTAATGTAACATAAAATGGTGTAACATTAGAAAATGTTGACCATTTAAGCTCCCTTGGCAGCCACCTCTCCACAAAAGTCAACTTTGACACTGAAATACAACACCACCTGAGCTCTGCGAGTGCAGCTTTTATTCCAAATGAAGCAGAGAGTGTTTGAGGACCTGGACATCCATAGGGATACCAAGGTGCTTGACCTCCCAACCCTGCTATATGCCTGCGAGATGTGGACAGTCTACAGACGTCACATGCAGCTCTCTGAACGATTCCATCAGCGCTGCCTCCAAAAAATCTTGCAAATCTCTTGGGAACACAGGCGGACAAATGTCAGCGTGCTGGAAGAAGCAAAGACCACCAGCATTGAAGCGATGGTCCTCCGCCATCAACTCCGCTGGAGCAGCCATGTTGTCCGGATTCCCGACCACCGTCTCCCAAAGCAGCTGCTCTACTCCGAACTCAAGAATGGGAAAACTGGAATGTTGGTGGGCAGGAAAAGAGATTTAAAGATGGGCTCAAAGTCAACCTTAAAATCCTGGCATAGACATTGAGAACTGGGAAGCCCTGGCCCTTGAGCACTCCAGCTAGAGGTCAGCTGTGACCAGCAGTGCTGCAGAATTTGAAGAGGCACGAATGGAGGGCGAAAGAGAGAAATGTGCCAAGAGGAAGGCGCGTCAAGCCAACCCTGCCCGAGAACGCCGTCCACCTGGAAACCAATGCCCTCACTGTGGGAGAAGATGCTGGTCAAAAAGAGGGCTCCACAGCCACCTACGGATCCACAAGAATACTGATCCTGGAAGACTATCCTACTCAGCCAAAGAGGGATCACCTAAGTAAGTAAGGCCATGTTCTAGAAGCATTCTTTCCTGACGTTTCACCTGCATCTATGGCAGACATCACACCTACCTCCAACAGACAGGAGTTCCTCCCACCCTGGACTTTCCTCTGATATATAAACCTGATTTTCCTAGTTTCCAACAGACCCTGGGATTTCATAGGGTGTAGCCATGGTTGTTAAAGAGGTTTGAAGTGCGATGACTGCCAGAATAATGACCAGACTGTATTTTGTAGCAAAATGCACGTCTGTTTTGGGGGGTTGATCTTTGTTGTATGTGTGTTTTGGGCTTTGTAGGTGTGTCCAGGTAATCATCTCTGCTATGTCCCTTCAAGTTACTTTCCCTTTTGTTACAACCTGCCACTCAGCCCAGAAGAGCCATAAAGCAATCATGAAAGCTATAAAGCAAACACAGTGAGTGTTTGAACAGTTGCTTAATAGCTGTATGGAGTGTTTTAGAGGCAATTTAAGGTGTATCCACACCTCTACCTGTTTCTACAGATTTTCACTCATAAAAATGTCAGCTATCAAGCAGATGTTTGTGGGGGAAAACTACAAGAAAGTTTAGCACATTATGCACTGAGATTGGCTAGTTTCCCACTGAAAATACAGAATACAGGGGGTGGCAAAGCAAGATGCCTTACCCTGTAATGTGTGCAACAACACTTATAAAACCTTATTCCATCTTTTGAAAATAAGGCCTTCTTCTTTTTTTGACGGAGGACTCCATGCTCTGGCTCCATCTGTCATCTTCAGCTCCTCACAGATGTCCCTTCTCCCACAGAGAAAGCAGAGGTGGAACACCCACTCGCCTTCCCAATTTTCCAACTTGTTTCACATAAGTATTTATTTGATCATAGAAGAAGAGCTTCAGGTCACCTTTGATGCCCTTGTTTCTTCATCTTTTGAAATGTTGTCTCCATCATCTCCTCCCCCACTGCTCCTTCTTTCATCTTTCTCTTCCCCCACTTCTTCCATTTCATATCCACCCTCCTCTGCTTCCTCCTCCATTTAATCTTTCTCCTTCTTCTTCCTGGGTTTTAGCATTTTCTTTTCTCTTCTTCTCCTTTTCTGCCTAAGGGTTTTATCTTTGTTCTCTTAACTCTTCTCCCCCCTTCTCTATTTTAGCACTTCTCCTTCCCCACTCCATTTTTCTTCTTCCTATTCCTCCTCTACTTCATGTTCGCATCCATTTTTATCTCCTTCTCCTCTTCTCCATCTCCATTTTATCTTTCTTTTCTTCTCCTGCATTTTCATCTTGTCTTGCCAATCTTAAGAAATGGGGCTACAAAGTGGAATTCACGACACACAAGTGTGGAGAAGAGCAAACCACTGACCACCTGCTGCAATGCAACCTGAGCCCTGCCACATGCACAATGGAGGACCTTCTTGCGGCAACACCAGAGGCACTCCAAGGGGACAGAGACTGGTCAAAGGGCATTTAATCAACTACCAAGTTTGCAAACTTTGTGTTTTGTCTGTCTGTTTGTTTGTTTGTTTGTTAAAAATGCGACGCAACTGTTTGGTCTGCTCCTGACACGATAAATAAATAAATCTTGTCTTGCATTTTTATCATTCTTCTCCCATTTTCCTTCTCCACCTTCTCCTTCTCCATCTTCTCTGTTTTTTATCATCTTCCATGTTCATTGTCCTGGTCTCTGGGTGAAGGAGAAAAAGAAGAAGGAAAAGACCTGAAAATGCTTAGAAAAAAGTATGTGGTATAAAATGCAGGTAGAAGTTGTGAATTGCATTTTTGTTGTCATTTATTCGTTCGGTCGCTTCCAACTTCGTGACCCCATGGACCAGCCCACGCCAGAGGTCCCTGTCAGCTGTCGCCACCCCCAGCTCCTTCAAGGTCAGTCCAGTCACTTCAAGGGTCCCATCCATCTTGCCCTTGGTCGGCCCCTCTTCCTTTTTCCTTCCAATTTCCCCAGCATCATTCTCTTCTCTTAGCTTTTCTGTATTCTCATCATGTGGCCAAAGGCCTTCATCTTTGCCTCTCATATCCTTCCCTCTAGTGACAAGTTAGGCTTTCTTTCCTGGAGTGTGGACTGGTTGGATCTTCTTGCGGTCCACGGCACTCTCAAAATTTTCCTCCAACACCACAGTTCAAAAGCATATATCTTCCTTCACTCAGCCTTCCTTATGGTCCAGTTCTCACATCCATAGGTTGCTATGGGGAATATCATTGCTTTAACTATGCAAATCTTCATTGCCAGTGTGATATCTCTGCTCTTCACTATTTTATCGAGATTAAAGAAGTAAACGCTTTCTGATTTCCTGGCTGCAGTCTGCGTCTGAGGTCATCTCTGTGTCTAGAAATACAAACCCTGTCACTGCCTCCACGTTTTCTCCCTCTATTTGCCAGTTATCAATCATTCGTGTTGCCAGAATCTTGGTTTTTTTGATGTTGAACTGCAGCCCAGCTTTTGCCCTTTCTTCTTTCACCTTGGTTAGAAGGCTCCTCATCTTCTCTTCACTTTTGGCCATCAAAGTGGTATCATCTGCATATCTAAGGTTATTAATATTTCTTCCAGCAATTTTAACCCCAGCCTTGCATGTTTTCCCCAAATGTCACTGCTCACCTATTAAACCTTTCTTGCCCAAATGTCAACTAGCAAAGCCAGGCGGAAGGTGCAAGCACCATCTCTGCTTCTTCTGGGATGGTGCCATCAGTATCCAAATACATGTGCTAGATGCTTTCTTCGATAGTGGAAATGAACACCAAATATTTTGAGGATTCAGGTGTCCTTTTGGAGCCCTGAAACAGTAATGTTTCATTCTCAAGGGGAGACTAGAGAGCTAGTGAGACTAGAGAGCTATGGTTTGAGCATTGAACAGTGCTGGAGACTGGTGTTCAAATACCTGATCGGCCGTAGAAACCCATTGGATGACCTTAGCTGACTCTTTTGCCTCAGAGGAAGGTGAAGGCAAACTAATCAGAATGTTTCTGTGGCAAAAAAAACAAAAACAGTGCTGCTCTGGAACAAACATTTTATTTACTTGTTTTACTACAGAAATAGGGCAAAGGGTTGAATGAGATGGTGGCCTCTTCCAGCTCCATTCCTATGATTCTAACTGCTTTCTTTTAAAGCACAACCTTGTATTTCTACTATCAACAAATTAAGGGTTAATATTTCTATTTTTTTATACAGCTTCCGTATTTGTAGCAATGCATCAAAATGACTTCTATGACTTGTGAAGCTACCCTGATGCAATGTGTGTCATCTCCTACAGGAAGAACAATGGCATTTGCACCTCCGAAAAACCTGGAGGGCCCAAAGATGCAAACCAAGATGAGCATGTGGACACCACTAAATCACCAGCTCATGAATGATAAAGTGAGTATCTCAGAATGTTGGGTTCGTCTAAGGACCACCCATGGGCCACATTTTGCCTCCCAAGGCCATTTTTGTGGACCCAAGTCCCTTTATGGGTCGAAAATTACGATAATCATTTTGTTTCAGAATGCTCAAAAATGCCCTCTACAGCACGTGGAAGGCATTTCTCCTTTGCTGCAAAATTTATCAAATGCACAATTTTGCCCTGAATTACTCCCAAATGCCCTTTGGGGAGTATGTGGGTCATGCCCATCACATTATATGCCTCCCATCCAGTTAAGATCCAGGGCAGACCTTTTTTGAAACAGGAAGTGACTAGGAAGTGACTTCCACTCACTTCCTTTTGCCTAAAATCATCCAGAAACTCCACCCAAACATGATAAAATGCCCCAATAATAATAATAATAATAATAATAATAATAATAATAATAATAATAATAAGAGAAACAACTGGAAAAGATGACATGATATGAGGATTTAAAGACCGAACTGCAAAAACTCTGACACAAACCAGTAAAGGTGGTCCCAGTAGTGATCGGCACACTGGATGCAGTGCCTAAAAACCTTGGTCTGCAATTAAACACAATCAGCACTGACAAAATTACCATCTGCCAGCTGCAAAAGGCCACCTTACTGGGATCTGTACGCGTTATTCACCGATACATCACACAGTCCTAGGCACTTGGGAAGTGTTCCAATACAACAGCCAACAGACTGATCTTGTTTGCTGTGTGCTCAACTTGTTGTGTTAATAATAATAATAATAATAATAATAATAATAATAATAATAATAATAATAACTTATACTATTTTATTTTTATTCAGCCCTATCTCCCCGAGGGGACTCAGGGTGGATTCCAACATAACAATGTCAAACATTCAATGCCTACGTAAGGAGTCTAAGATCGTATGGGGAGGCTCTGCTCTTGGTTTCACCTTCGTTGCAGGCGCGATTGGCGGGGATGAGAGACAGGGCCTTATCAGTGGTGGCCCCCCTTAGAAAGCCCTGTCTCTCGTTCCCACCAATCTGAATTATCTGATTTGATAATTTGGATTATATGGCAGTGTAGAAGGGGCCTCAGAGTCCACAATGAAGGATATACTCTAAATGAGACCTCAATGAAGGATATACTTTTTTTAAAATTATATCCCTGCATTGTGCACTTAATGTAGTTGGACCTACATGCTTTTGTATTACAAAAATCTGCACTCCAAGACTGGAAGGATAAAATATTTGCAATCTGTTGTTCTGTGACTGCAAGACTTTGCTGCATTATGCACACAAATGCACACAAACGTGTATTTTCAGCTCATGTTCTATCTTTAAAAAAAATGTATTTTTGCAAATTCAATCAGCTTATATATGGAGCCCACATTGGTGCAGTGGGTTAAACCGCTGAGCTGCTGAATTTGCTGACCAAAATGTCACAGGTTCAAAATCGGGGAGCGGCATGAGCTCCCACTGTCAGCCTCGGCTTCTGCCAACCTAGCAGTTCAGAAACATGCAAATGTGAGTAGATGAATAGCTACCACTCCAGCGGGAAGGTGACGGCGCTCCGTGCAGTCATGCCGGCCACATGACCTTGGAGGTGTCTATGGACAACGCCGGCTCTTCGGCTTAGAAAGAGATGAGCACCAACCCTCAGAGTCAGACACGACTGTACTTAATGTCTAGAGAAAACCTTTACCTTTACTTTATATATGCCTTGCCCTAGTTCATGTTCCAAGTATTCTCCTTCCTCTTCTTTCCTTTATCTTTTCTTCCCTTTCTTTTCTGTTTGATGGAATGAAACTTTGGAGTGGTTATATCAACAATGATGATTTTATAAGGGATTAACAAACAAGCTTTAGTTTCCTAATGGATCATGTCACTACCCTGATGGATGTGTAAGGGCTCCAAAAGCAAACATTGCATGCTTTGATGATTAAAGCCTGGGAGGTGCACTTTGGAAAATAAAACGCAAATACATTAACAGGGGAGAGTTGTAATTCTATCTCTCTGGGACATTTGCCATCGTCTTGTAACAAAGACATCTCTCTCTCCTACAAGAAGACTGTAGGTAAATATAGGAATATTGTCCAAGTCCTGAACGGGTGCCTGGCCGCTGTGACTGTCTGGATGAGGGCAAGCAAATTGAAGTTGAATCCAGACAAGACAGAGGTCCTCCTGGTCAGTCGCAAGGCCAAACAGGGTATAGGTTCACAACCTGTGCTGGATGGGGTTACACTCCCCTTGAAGGCACAGATTCGCAGCTTGGGGGTCCTCCTGGATTCATCACTGAACCTGGAATCCCAGGTTGCAGCGGTGGCCAGGGGAGCGTTCGCACAATTAAAACTTGTGCACCAGCTGCGCCCATACCTTGGGAAGTCAGACTTGGCCATGGTGGTCCACGCTCTCATTACATCCAGGATAGACTACTGCAACGCACTCTGTGTGAGGTTGCCTTTGAAGACTGCTTAGAAGCTTCAAATAGTCCAACGAGAGGCAACCAGGTTAATAACTGGGGCAGCATACAGGGAGCATACAACTCTCATGTTACGCCAGCTCCACTGGCTGCCAGTTTGCTACTGGGCGCAATTCAAAGTGCTGGCTTTGGCCTATAAAGGCCCAAATTACCTGTCCGAACGTATCTCCCCCTATGTACCATTGCGGAGATTAAGATCCTCCGGGGAGGCCTGTTGCAACTCAGAGTAGGCTGCACTTTGCTCCCAAACACCACCACACAAGAGCTTTAGATTTTGTAGTTTATTGAGGAAAAATCCAAGTCAAAACATAGAATAAGCAATGCAGAGTTCTAAAGACAAAGGTTAAATGCAAAACTCAGTTCCAAGGATTCTCAGGTAAGAACATAAAACATAATCCTTAAAGCAATGGTCAAATCAGAATCCATGGTAAAAACAGTGAAACTCAAGCCCCAAGAATTACGATGCAGGAAGCCCAAAGCGTGCTGCTGTAGAGCCAAGATTATTCCATAGAAGCTTTCATGCCAAAAGCCATGTTGAACTGACACCTTCCCCCTGTTAACCAGAAGCCTAAATACTTTTTACCAATGAAAACATTACGCTCTTGCCAACATGAAGGCATTACGGTGACCTTTCACCGACCTACCTTCTTTCTTGCTGGCTATCCGCGAGCTCCTCCTGACCCGCCAATCTAAGCGTTCCTGCCTGCTCATTAAATCACTATCAAAGTTCTCTTCTCTATCAGCGTGAGACGGCTGAGAAAGAGAAGGCCTCTGCACCTGGTCGTTATCTAACTCACTGGCATTCTTTTCCCATGAGAACTGACTTGTCGACTCCTCCGGTGCACTGTCTGCAAGAGGCACAGAGAAAGAAGCAGGCCCAGAAATCTGAATCCCATCATCCTCTTCATCAGGGAACATTTCAGGCTCACAAGAGGGTTCAGTTTCAGGCTCATCAAGCTGAACCACAACAAGGCCCTGCTTTCGTCCCGCCATTGTCATAGGCGCGATTGGTGGGGAAGAGAGACAGGGCCTTCTCGGTGATTGCTCCCTGGCTATGGAACTCCCTTCCTAGTGAGATCAGGTTGTCCTCCTCCCTCCTGACCTTTAGAAGCATGGTAAAAACTTGGCTGTGGGACCAAACTTTTGGGACAGGGCAATAAAGCGGTAAAGGGAAAGATGACCAGGCCAATTAGATTTGATGCCGATGACTAGGATGGTTTTAAATGGTGTATTTTAATATTTTGATAAATGTTTTTTAATGTTTATGTATGTGTATGTGAATTTGTGTCCCAGCATTGAATGTTTGCCATGTATATGCTGTGCTCCGCCCTGAGCCCCCTTCGGGGTGAGAAGGGTGGAATATAAATGTTTTAAATAAATAAATAAACATATGGGAGGAGAGGAAATACAGCCACGCCTCCACATTTCCTGGAGACCTTAAATTGCAGATATCAGTCCTGCAAATGATGCAGACGATGGTGATTATTTACACAAGTAATTTCTAACAGGCTGTTGAGTCATTCCTCCTTGAATCTCTTTTAAAAACCATTTCTTCCTGATTGTTTTTCTTAGGTATTTGAAGAGAGAAGAAACTTGTTAGGAAAATGGGTAATCATCTTTTTTGTTAATTATGCCCCCTCCCCTCGCTTAATCTCTTTTAATTGTACTTTAATTGAAGTGCGCAAATCCTCCAGCACTCAATTCAGACCAGTCCATGCCAAGAAATGCCTCATGCTCGTCATTTGTGCCATTGACACAGAAAGTTAGCCTCTTGAAAGCTAATTATGGTGAAAATATACCATAGAATCATGCTGAAGGACTTAGAAAATGTATAAAGTCCTGAAACATGTCATTTGGTGAGTTACTTAGAATTATCTTCCAGAAAACTGATATTTTAAGTTGTGGACTACATCACTAAACTACAAATCTCAGGATTTGACACAATAGACCCACAGCAGTTAAAGTCATATCAAATGTGAGTAAAATGACTAAAATGATCAAGGATGACTAAAATGATAAAGGGTCTGGAGAACAAGCCCTATGAGGAGCGGCTTAAGGAGCTGGGCATGTTTAGCCTGAAGAAGAGAAGGCTGAGAGGAGATATGATAGCCATGTATAAATATGTGAGAGGAAGCCACAGGGAGGAGGGAGCAAGCTTGTTTTCTGCTTCTTTGGAGACTAGGACGCAATGGAACAATGGCTTCCAAACTACAAGAGAGGAGATTCCATCTGAACATGAGGAAGAACTTCCTGACTGTGAGAGCCGTTCAGCAGTGGAACTCTCTGCCCCGGAGCGTGGTGGAGGCTCCTTCTTTGGTAGCTTTTAAACAGAGGCTGGATGGCCATCTGTCAGGGGTGGTTTGAATGCAATATTCCTGCTTCTTGGCAGAATGGGGTTGGACTGGATGGCCCATGGGGTCTCTTCCAAGTCTTTGATTCTATGATTCTATGATTCTATGAAATGGCTATGAATCCTGCTGTGTGGATATTCCCAGGGCTGGCCAAATACTACCATAAACTCCCATAGCACTGTAGTAGTTAACGTGGTATAAAACATTTCTAATTGTGCAGTGGGAATGCATTCCCACTGAAGACAAAACATCTACTAATATTGCCCGATGCTCCATCTGTACTACCATATAAAATCCAGATTATCTGCTTTGAACTGGATTATATGACAATGGGTTGAGCTTCCTCTGTCAGTTCCAGCTCCCCATGTGGGGTCATGAGAGAAGCCTCCTACAAGGATGGTAAAACAACCGGACGTCCCCAGGGCAACATCCTTGCAGACAGCCAATTCTCTCACACCAGAAGCGACTTGCAGTTTCTCAAGTCGCTCCTGATACAGAACAAAAATTCAAAACAGATAATGTGTACTATCTGCTTTGATAATCTGGATAATATGGCAGTGTAGAAGGGACCTGAGTATTTTGTGTAATGTAGTAGTCTTGGAAAAAAAATTAAACATAACCACAACCCTTCATTTGGGATCAGGAAAATATTGGCTTCACACCCAAAGCGAAGAATGAAATGGTTCCATTTTTGTACTTAAAATAGTTTTGAAATTGGACTTCATATCTGACAGCTGAATCTGTAAATTCAGGGAAGCATCCCAATTTAGGCCCCTTCTACACTGCCATATAAAGTCTAGGTATTCTGCTTTGAACTGGATTATATGGCAGTGTAGACTCATATAATCCAGTCCAAAACTGATAATGTGGATTATCTGCACTGATAATCTGGATTATATGGCAGTGTAGAAGGAACCTTACTCCTAAAGTTGAGTTTGGGAGAGTAGAGTTTGGATAGCCTTTCCAGCTATAAGTCTATTAGTTCTGCCCAAAAGCCATTCAGTGGCACAAATTTTCATTTTGAAAGCAGAGGTACATTGAGTTTCGGTAAGATCTTCCTACTCTGGCATGGATTATACACACACACACACTAGCTGTCCTTTGTCACGTGTTGCTGTGGCCCAGTCTGTGTATATGTGTTGTATGTGTGTATATATATATATATGTGTATGTGTGTATGTATATATTTGTGCATATGTGTGCGCGCGTATAAATATGTGGTTTTGTGCATGTGTTGTAATGTATTTTTTCTTTATGGCTTTTTAAGTCTCTTCCTTTGTGTTTTTCAGTATTTTTATGAGTGATGGTCACTCGTTGGCCTGATAGGCATATTGTGTCCAAATTTGGTGTCAATTCGTCCAGTGGTTTTTGGGTTATGTTAATCCCACAAACTAACATTACACTTTTATTTATTTATTTATTTATTTATTTATTTATTTAGATAGATAGATAGATAGATAGATAGATAGATAGATAGATAGATAGATATACTAGTCACCCCCTGCCACACATTGCTGTGGCCCAGTCTGTGTATATGTGTTTTGTGTGTGTATATATATTTGTTTATATGTGTATATATGTGTATTTGCATATATATATGGTTTTGCACATGCGTTGTAATGTATTTATTTTTTTTACTTTTTAAGTCGCTTCTGCTGTATTTTTCAGTGTTTTTATGAGTGACGGTCACTCGTTGGCCTGATACGTGTATTGTGTCCAAATTTGGTGTCAATTTGTTCAGTGGTTTTTGAGTTATGCTAATCCCACAAACAAACATTACATTTTTATTTATATAGATAATGTTTTTCATGAAATCCCTCCAATGTTTTCGCAGAACTCTAGGGTTTCCCAGCTTGGGAATCGCTCGTCTGGAGCAGGCAAGGGCAAACTTGGACCCTCCAGGTGTTTTGGACTCCAACACCTACAATTCCTCATTGCCTTTTGAGGGACATCTGTGTTCTTTTAACACCCAAGGGACCAAAAGTAGTAGGGTACATCCCTATCAGTATTGTTATCTGCAAAATCAAAATATTTTGGGGTCAGAAAAGCTGCCTCTCTGGGGAACTGTTCCAAGGTGCCTCCAGCCCACCTCTCCCGTGTCTCCACCTTTACCTTCCCAGTTTGACAAGTGGACGGACGTTCAGAGGCGGAGGATTTTAGGTGATTTCCTAGAGCGCTGCTCCCTCCCGCAGCTCAAATTCTGCTTCAAGCACCTGCAGGAGCGGATGCCGGTCGAAGCGCTGGATTTTACCACCAAGCTTCCCAGGGCGTTGTCCATCTATATCTTTTCCTTCTTGGACCCCTGGAGTCTCTCCCGATGCGCCCAGGTAAAGCTCCGCGTGTGGCTGGATTGGTTGGTGCAACAGAGCGGGGCAGAGCTTGGATAGGTTTTGTCTAGAATACTATTGGAGGAGACTCTCACCTCAGGGCCCTCCAGTCCAACCTCTTCAGGCCAGAGAAGAAGACATGCATTCCTGACAGATGGTCATCAGGCTTCCTTTCAGAAGCATTGAGAGTAGGAGAGCCCATTGCTTTTCTAGACATTGTATGTTTCACTCAGGCCCGTAGCCAGGATTTTGATTCGGGGGGAGCTGAGTTTGATTCGGGGTTGGGGGGGGGAGCTGAGTCTTGAGTGAAAGAGGGTCTACCCTAGCAAACCTTTTGTATCGTTACCCCAATACCCCCATGCATATGGGATATATTGAGCATGGTGATCAGATCATGATATGAATAAATATAACAGTTTAAGTAATGTACCAGTAAGGCCTTCTTGCGGACCACTATGAGAATTTCCTTTCAGAAACCTCCAGGGAAGGACACCCAATCACCTTTCTAGGCATTCTATATTTATTTATTTATTTATTTATTTATTTATTTATTTATTTATTTATTTTGTCTTTAGACTTGTGTCCCATCTCCAAGATATCCCATTGCCTCAGAAATAGAAAACACTTCTGGTCCCCAGAGCTTTGGATAAGAAATACTCAACCTATACTGTTAACGCTTGTGTTGTGCATCTTGCTTGTTGCTGCAGGTGTGTCCCTTGACAGGTTCCTCTTGTTTTCTCAGGTAAGCTGGCACTGGAAATTCTTGACGGAGCTGGATCAGATCTGGATACCAAAATGCCTGCGTTTTGGGTGGTACATCAATTTCTCCCCATCTCCTTTTGAGCAGGGGATCTGGAAGAGAAACTACATTGAGAATGTTGAAGCGCTCCAGGTCGTCCGGCATAAGGTACCTCTATGATTCCTGGGGTGGAGAAGCCTCTTGGGATCATAGAAGCGTAGAGTCGGAAGAGACCACAAGAGCCATCCAGTCCAACCCCCTTCTACCAGGCATGAATACCAATCAAAGCCCTCCTGAAAGATGGTCATCCCGCCTCTCCTTAAAAACCATACTCCGAGGCAGCATTTTCCATAAAACTGACAAAAACAGAAAACTTGTGGGGGTGGCTTCATGTATGTGTATTTTTCCATGTACAAGGGCACACAATTTTTTCTTTGCCACAGGGAATATTTTGGTTTTATAAACACTTTTACCTAATGTTGAATAGAATGGTTACTTGCAACCCTGGAGAGCCATTATTGGTCCTTAGAGCAAAAAATGTGATTCTTGAAAAGGTGTGGGAAGAGTGTGACCTATGGGCTGCACTACATGCAACTTCCCAGATAATAATAATAATCTATATAAATAAAAATGTAATGTTCATTTGTGGGATTAACATAACTCAGAAACCATTGGACAAATTGACACAAATTTGGACACAATACACCAATCAGGCCAACAAGTGACCATCACTCAGAAAAAAACACTGAAAAACACAGCAGAAGAGACTTTAAAAGCAAAAAAAAATCAAAAATACATTACAACACATGCGCAAAACCACACACACACACACACATATATATATACATACATACATACACACACACACAAACACACATACGCAAATACACAAATATATACACCATATACACAATGGTGCAGTGGGTTAAAGAACTGAGCTGCTGGGCTTGTTGACCGAAAGGTCACAGGTTCAATTCCGGGGAGCGGCGTGAGCTTCCGATGTCAGCCCTAGCTTCTGCCAACCTAGCAGTTTGGAAACATGCAAATGTGAGTAGATCAATAGGTACCACTACGGCGGGAGGTAACGGAGCTCAATGCAGTCATGGTAGCCACATGACCATGGAGGTGTCTATGGACAACACTGGCTCTTCGGCTTAGAAATGGAGATGAGCACCACACCCCAGAGTCAGACATGACTGGATTTAATGTCAGGGGACAACCTTTTTACACACACAAAACACATATTCACAGACTGGGCCACAGCAACGTATGGCAGGGGGTGGCTAGTAATAATCATCATCATTATCATCATCATCATCTATATAAATAAAAATGTAATGTTAGCTTGTGGGATTAACATAGTTCAAAAACCATTGGACGAATTGACATCAAATTCAGACACAATACACCAATCGAGCCAACGAGTGACCATCACTCATAAAAACACTGGGAAAGAAAACAGCAGAAGAGACTTAAAAAGCCAAAAAAGCAAAAAGACACAGTGCACGCACAAAAATGACTCCCCCAGCAAACAAAACACACAATAGCATATCCACACTTGCTTCCAGACTACAGCTTCCAGCATCCCCTAGACCAGACCCTTTAGGAGAGGAGGATGATCCAAATTCCAAGACGCAAGCTTTCTTCTCCTTGGATTTCTTTGAGAGAATCCCAATCCCTGCATATTTCCAATTTCCTATTCTTGGACTGCAACTCTCAGCAATCCTCCAGATAGATAGATTAGATAGAGATAGGTAGGTAGATAGGTAGGCAGGTAGATCAATCAGGAGGACTGCTGGGAGTTGCAGTCTAAGAATAGGTAGATAAGTAAGAAAGGGGAGAAAGAGGAAGGGAAAGAAAAGTTGGGGGTGGAAGCAAAGAAGAAGAGAAGGAAGGACAGGAAGGAAGGAAGGAAGGAGAGAAAGGAAGGAAGGAAGGAGAGAAAGGAAGGAAGGAGAGAAAGAAAGGAGGAGAGAAAGGGGGAGAGAAGGTTGGCCACAGTAATGTGTGGCGGGTACAGCTAGTAACAACAAAACTTTATTTGTACCCTGCCCCATCTTCCCGAGGGGACTCGAGGCGGCTTTTGTGGCAGTTTTGTGGCCCTTCTTTGGATCCAGTTTAAATTTCATGCACAACATTATTAGTTTAAGAAGGGACATGAGATCCATGTTTAAATATTTGACAGAGATTCCATTTTAACATTAGGAAGGATTTCCTGAGAGGGTCAGAGCTGTTTGCCAGAGAATGCACTGCTGCCTGGGAGTCTGGTGGAGTGCCCTTCTCTGGAGGTCTTTAACCACAGGCTGGATGGCCATCTGCCAGGAGTGCTTTGGTTGTGTCTTCCTGCCTTGAAGAAAGAAGTTGGAATGGATTGCCCTGGTGGTCTCTTCCAGGGCAATCTCAACCTGTGAGTCCCCAGATGTTTTGGCCTTCAACTCCCAGAAATCCGAACAGCTAGTAAACTGGCTGGGATCTCTGGGAGTTGTGGGCCAAAACACATGGGGACACACAGGTTGAGAACCACTACGCTATTTGATTTTATGATTTCCAGGTGATTCCTGCATTGCGAATCATGCCAAAAGCCCCTCAAATTGATGCTGCATGCACAATTGGAGGAGAAATTGAGAGAAATAGCATATATTGTCATACTGTGCAGAGTAGGAGTCAGAGGATGGAAATGTGTCCCCTTTTGGGGGTGGGCAATTCATACTTATGTAATGAAGCCCCCATGGTTATTTGTCATCTGGTGGAAGAACAATTCCCCAGCAATAGTCTGGGGACCATAGAGAAAAGGTCTTGCACAAGCAAGCTAAAAGGAATTGCCACCGCATTCGTTTCTATTCTTATGTGTCGTTCTCCCACCTCTTTAGGTCCCACCCAAAGAGGATTTTGTCGTGCCGGATGTTCAGCCTTTGGTGAAAGAGACCCCAGAGGCCAAGCCCTCCCTGTTATCGGTTCTCCAGGCTGCGTCTCTCTTAGGAAAGAAGGCCAGAAAGGAGAGGAAAGAGCTCCCTCCGTGGCGCTCCTCCGATAAGCATCCGACAGACACCGTCAGGTTCAATTACTTGGACAACTTTGATCCCATTGAGCAAGCGAGACAAGCGTAAGGCACACCCGAATTGCCATCTCCTTTATTTGTCAAACAAAATTAAATAGCACAATTGCTGTGTTTGATGGTTGCCTTGTTGCTGGGACAGGTGATGGCAGCGCTGCCTTATTCATCACTGTGCAAGACTGCCATTCACCTTTTGCATTGTTTTTGTGTGTTTGGGATTGGAGGTTACGAGTAAGACTCCTTCTACACTGCCATATAATCCAGATTATCAAAATAATCCACATTTTATGCTTTGAACTGGATTATCTGAGCCATATAACCCAGAATAGCACGGCAGACAATCCACAATATCGGCTTTGAACTGGATTATCTGAGTCTACACCGCCAGATAATCCAGTTCAAAGCCAATAATCTGGATTTCATATGGCAGTGTAGAAGGGGCCCAAGGCCCCTTCCACACAGCTGTATAAAATCCACATTGAACTGGATTATATGGCAGCGTGGACTCATATAATCCAGTTCAAAGCCGATATTGTGGATTGTCTGCTGTGCTATTTTGGGTTATATGGCTGTGTGGAAGGGCCCTTCGTAACCTCTGAAAGTTCTGGGTTGTTGTGTGTTTTCTGGGCTGTATGGCCGTGTTCCAGAAGCATTCTCTCCTGAGGTTTCACCCACATCTATGACAGGCATCCTCACAGCCTTTGAAGATGCTTGCCATAGATGTGGGCAAAATGTCAGGAGAGATTGCTTCTGGAATATGGCCATACAGCCCAGAAAACACACAACAACCCAGTGATTCCAGCCATGAAAGCCTTTGACAATACATTATGCAAGTTCTGTTCTTTTCTGATTAATAGCACACTCAGGTCAAATTCTGAAGAGTTTCTAGTGCTACTCCCAATGTCTTTTCCTTTCCTTTTTTTTTTTTTGCTATGCTAGATTGTTGTTAGTTTTTTCAAGTTGACTTCATCCTATGGTCACCTATTCTCTCCTGACATTTCGCCTGCATAGAATCATAGAATCAAAGAGTTGGGAGAGACCTCATGGGCCATCCAGTCCAACCCCCTGCCAGGAAGCAGGGGACATCTATGGCAAGCATCCTCAGAGGTAGTGAGGAAACGTCAGGAGAGAATGCCTCTAGACCATGGCCATATAGCTCGAAAAAACCTACAACAACCCAGTGATTTTGGCCATGAAAGCCTTCAACAACAACATATTTATTACCTGCCTCTCTGAGATAGATAAAGTACACCCATAGATGCGCATATTAAAGCACACACGTATTAAAATACATGAAACTAAAGTTAAAACACAGTAAACATACAGGTGTGATTTTAATATTTATAGGTTTGAAACTGACTGAACAAGCCAGTCCATGTAATGCATTGAGGGGTATGGGATGTTGGTAAAAATAGGAATTAAAAACTGAACTGTTTTAACAAGCCTGAACAACTCCATTTTGAGAGTAGCTGACATCTCCCCTTGGCCTGCATTGTTTGCTGAGCTCTGTCGTATGTACTGTGTTAGAAATGCTGCAACTGCATTATTATGAGCCCAGGGCCATCAACCAGATGTTAGGGCTATATATAGCACCAGAGCCTGGCGACATCCTCTTAAACAATGGAAGAGCTCTCACTACATGTTGTGTTGGTCACATAGACCTCAGATAAGGATTACTAGGACTGGATCTACACTGCTATAAATATATCCCAAGATCCGATCCCAGACTATCTGGCAGTATAGATTCATACAATCCAGTATAGATTCATACAATCATCTGGGGAGGCTCTCGGTCCTGCCTGCATCACAGGCGCGCCTGGTGGGGATGAGAGACAGGGCCTTCTCAGTGGTGGCCCCTCGGCTGTGGAACGCCCTTCCTACAGATATCAGATTGGCCCCCTCCCTGCTGGCGTTTCGGAGGAAAGTGAAGACCTGGCTGTTCGAACAAGCATTCGATTAAACAGTGTAATTGAACATAGTAATACGGAATAATGGATGACGAGACTGGATTCTGATTTTACCAATGAGATGTTAATGATCGTTATATTGATGTTTAATCGTTGATGATGCTACTGTTTTTAACTGTCCCATATTCATTTTGTGATGTTTTTGCATTGAATTTTGCTGTTGTTAACCGCTTTGAGTCGCCCGAGGGCTGAGAAAAGCAGTATATAAATGAAGTAAATAAATAGTAAATAAATAAATAAATAAATAAATAAATAAACCACCATGACCAACTGAACATACTGGAGGGATTTGAGGGGAACTGACCCATCATGGTGGGAGCTGTATTATACCCTGCAGCCAGAGACCACACGGACCCCACTGATGGTGCATCTAGAGAGCAAACTTGCCCAAAATATGGAGTTTCAGGGGGTTATTTATTTATTTATCGTGTCATCAGCAACCATACCATTATATTACAATTCTAACAAAGCAAAACAAACACACAGATTAAAAAGAAAAAGAAGGGGGAAAAAACACACAGATTTTGCAAATTTGGTAGTTGGTTAAATGTCCTTTGACCAGTATCTGGCCACTTGGAGTGCCTCTGGTGTTGCCGCAAGAAGGTCCTCCATTGTGCATGTGGCAGGGCTCAGGGTGCATTGCAGCAGGTGGTCAGTGGTTTGTTCTTCTCCGCACTCACATGTCGTGGATTCCACTTTGTAGCCCCATTTCTTAAGGTTGGCTCTGCATCTCGTGGTGCCAGAGAGCAGTCTGTTCAGCGCCTTCCAAGTCGCCCAGTCTTCTGTGTGCCCAGGACGGAGTCTCTCATCTGGTATCACCCATGGATTGAGGTGCTGGGTTTGGGCCTGCCACTTTTGGACTCTCGCTTGCTGGGGTGTTCCAGCGAGTGTCTCTGTAGATCTAAGAAAACTATGTCTTGATTTAAGTCGTTGACATGCTGGTTGATACCCAAACAGGGTATCAGGGGGTTAACCTGGCATGATGTGAGCTGTAGTTCACCCACAACCATATGCCAGCTACCCAAGCTTGTGTGTGGTGTTGTTGTTTTTGTTGTTGTTGTTGTAGATTAAACAAATATATAATCTTTTCTTTTGATTGTTGCAGCAGAAAGAAAGGAGGGGGTCTGACCCCAGACCTCAGCCTGGCAGCCTTTCAGAAGAAAAGGAGACCAAACAGTGGAACGTACAAACTCCGGAAAGCCAAGTCCTTGGCAAGTATTGTGAGACCTGTCGATCTTCTAAACTTACGCTACAAACTCAAATTGGTACACATGTCCCCTTTCAACCTTCTCTTCTCCAAGCTGAATATACCCAGCTCTTTAAAATGCTCCTCAGCGGGATTCATAGTTTCCAGACTTGGAACTATTCTGGTCAGTCTCCCCTGGACACATGGCAGGTGATGTGTTACATAGGAACATGGTTTTCTTTTTTAATTCTATGCAGCCTTGGGAAGGTTAGGCGGGCAGTTTGATCCATCCAAAAATACAGGATGAATGTTTTATCTTTTTTGGAGAGGGCGGGACTCCTCTCTGGCTTACAGTGCTGAGTTTGTCACGGTTCTTTCTTCCAGTATTCACCCCAAACGCTCTGCCCTATATCCCCATTGGATTCCACAGGAGCATTCAGCTCTAGCTAGGTTTTTTTTTTTCATAGCACCTTTACAAGTCTCCATTTTTTATTTTTTATTCAACTTTGTAACAGCAAGTAACCACAAACACATAAAATATATTGTATATATGTATTTTGTTTGTATATACGTATGCATGAGTACACATAACATACTTACTCTACTTACTTACTTAGGCGTTGACTGAATATGTAGTGTCTTGGTGGGGGGTGCGTAGGTGACTGTGGAGCCCTATTCTTGACCCGCATGCTCTTCCACATTACGGACATCTGTTTCCAGGTGGAAGGTGATCTCGGTCAAGGTTGGCTTGACATGCCTTCCTCTTGGCCCATTTCTCTTCAAATATTTCAGCAGGGATCCCATCAGGTCCGCTGGCTTTGTTATTGTTGGGGTTCAGCCTGATCCTGATCTGTGTGAACCGGATTCTCTGATAGTTTTTCCAACTGAGCAGGCTCTTCCTGACCCTGACAGTGTGGAATCTGTTGTTGATGCTGAGGTCAGCGGCAATTAAAATGAAACTCAGCTGGAGGAAAATGTTTTGGAAGCTAGTCGTGATATCTCTCCACCTGGGGTTTTTAATGAGGACCGAAGAGAACAGATTGTTAGAGACAGAAATGTTTCCCAGTTTCTACGAAGGTAACACATCGTTTACAGGAGAGACAGGCCCAGGCTTCAAAGTCAAGGGGCGTTTCAAAGAATAGTTTCTTTGGTTTAAGAGGCCTCCTGCCGGGTGCCTCTTTAGATCAAGCAATGTTTGGGACTGTGGCTGTGCCTTGGCAGAATTCCTGTGTTCCATGGCCATGTATTTCTAGGTTCCATGTATTTCTAGGTGCAAAGATTACTGCAGATGCAGACTGGCCAGGAAATCAGAAGACGCTTACTTCTTGGGAGGAGAGCAATGTCCAATCTCGATAAAATAGTAAAGAGTAGAGACATCACACTGGCAACAAAGATCCGCCTAGTCAAAGCCATGGTGTTCCCTGAAGTAACCTACGGATGTGAGAGCTGGACCTTCGGGAAGGCTGAGCGAAGGAAAATCGATGCTTTTGAACTGTGGTGTTGGAGGAAAGTCCCGAGAGTGCCTTGGACTGCGAGAAGATCCAACCAGTCCATCCTCCAGGAAATAAAGCCCGACTGCTCACTGGAGGGAAGGATACTAGAGACAAAATTGAAGTACTTTGGCCACATCATGAGGAGACAGGAAAGCCTAGAGAAGACAATTATGCTGGGGAAAGTGGAAGGCAAAAGGAAGAGGGGCCGACCATGGGCAAGATGGATGGATGGCATCCTTGAAGTGACTGGACTGACCTTGAGGGAGCTGGGGGTGGTAACGGCCGACAGGGAGCTCTGGCGTGGGCTGGTCCATGAGGTCACGAAGAGTCGGAGACGACTGAACGAATGAACAACAACAACAACATGGCCAGTAATCTCAGAGGCTTCTAGTTTTCAAGTTCATGGTTAGTAAAAGGCTAACAGGTTCCTGGTTCTTGTATTGTGGCTTTTGAAATTTTGCTCAAGTTCAGAGATTCTACTGACTGCTGTGTTTTTTCTGTGGCTTTTTGACTTTGCATTTACTTTTCTTTTGTAACCAATTTTTTATCAATAAACAAGGATTGCTTTTCCTACAGTCCAGTGTGGTGGATTTAATCTTATGGTCTCGTTTCTTGAACTGGGATGCAACAGTTATTTTTTTTGTTGGCCAATGGCATCGCTGACTTCTTCCAAACTAGGCAGTGCTGTAAGATCATCCTTGGCTTGTTGTTGTGGAATTTGTGAGAGAACCTCTTCAGCCACATGGGAGCTGCGATTCAGGAGGCGTTGGTAGTGTTCTTTCCAGCGTAGTGCAATTGATTTTTTGTCCTTCAGAAGTTTGGTTCCATCTGATGAGCATAGATGCTGTATGCCATGGTTTCTTGGTTCATAGATGACCTTTGTGGCTTTGAAAAATCTCTGAGCACCATGGTTATTTGCAAGGTGTTGAATTTCTTCAGCTTTCTTTTTCCACTAGATGTTCTTGAGTTCTCTTGTCCTTCTTTGGACCTCAGCTTTTGCATTGGCGTAAGTCTTTTTCTTAGCAGCACAGTTGACGTCTCTCTCCTATGTTTGGAAGGCTTTCTTTTTCTTGTCAATTAGCTGTTAACAGCTAATTAATTGTTACTCTAACATACATACGTACATAAATTGTTTTTAAAAGAGTTTTTCCCATTCCCTTTTGTTGGTTTCTCTCTAGTTTAATATTTGTACTTCTCCCTTATGTCTTGCAAGGGCTTTACTTCTGCTTGTTTTCAAATGTACAATTGAATAACCCAAGAGTTTATGCCTCCAAACTCATACATAACCTCCTTTCCTCTCCCTCAGATGTACATTGAGAGAAAGATTTCCATTCCTCTAAGAATGTGTCCAGTGATTTATCACTCAAAAATGGTTAACTTGTCCATTTCTGTTAGTGTCCACATCTTAACTATATTTCTGTCAGTCCCCATATCTCTTCTGTCTGTGTCTCTGCCTAGGCTTGTGATGTTTTGAAGGCAGAAGGGACCAGCTCCATCCAAAGCCTGTTGTTCCTGTCATGTTTGGCAGATGCCATCCTCCCCAGGCATTGGGATTTAACAATGTTTTGCTCCCTTCTCCTGCAGCAGCCCGGGGCAGTGGCGCCAAGAACGCAGGAATGTAGAAACCAGGTAGAGGAAGCTGGATGGAGCATTGGCGGTCTGCAGTCCTTTGTGTGTTAAGCCCACGCCTGAGGGGCAGATTGGGGTCGGGGTGGGGTTCCATTCTGCCTGCTACCGTAACGTCCCATCATCCTGTCATGCCACAGCGTCGGCCTCCCTGACACCTTAAGCCCTCGCATGCTCACCTGCTCAGGTTGTCTTGTCATCTCCTGCCAATCACAGAAGGGCTTGCTTTCAAACTAAGTGAAACTACACCCTGCCTTTTGACATTACCTGTGTTATTTTATTTATCGTGTCATCAGCAACCAGATATTTTTATTACATTTTTAACAAAAACAAACAAACAGACAGACAAAACACAGAATTTGCAAGCTTTGTAGTTGATTAAATGTCCTTTAACGAGTATCTGGCTACTTGGAGTGCCTCTGGTGTTGCCGGAAGGAGGTCCTCTTTTGTGCATGTGGCATGGCTGAGGTTGCATTGCAGCAGGTGGTCTGTAGTTTGCTCTTCTCCCCACTCGCATGTCGTGGATTCCACTTTGTAGCCCCATTTCTTAAGGTTGGCTCTGCATCTCGTGGTGCCAGAGCGCAGTCTGTTCAGCGCCTTCAAAGTCGCCCAGTCTTCTGTGTGCCCAGGGGGAAGTCTCTCATTTGGTATCAGCCATTGATTGAGGTTCTGGGTTTGAGCCTGCCACTTTTGGACTCTCACTTGCTGGGATGTTCCAGCGAGTGTCTCTGTAGATCTTAGAAAACTATTTCTTGATTTAAGTCATTGACGTGCTGGCTGATACCCAAACAAGGGATGGGCTGAATTGAAGTCCAAAACACCTGGAGGGGTGAAATTGGCCCATGCCAATGATACAGCCAACCTATTGCTTCTGTTCAGGTTTACTCATATGTCTGGATTTTTTAATGGTAGAAGAGCATTTATAGCACACTGTCATGTCATGCCGTAAACGAAAAGTGCAAGCAGTTTGTTGTTTTGGGTTTCTTGGCTTCATGCTTTCCTGTCTTGCTTCCTAGATGTCCCTCTCCGTAGATCTCGGATCGCAGCCAAAAGTTCCCTCCCGCCCCACCTGGGCCACCTTTGAGCCAAGTGGCTACCCATTGGTCAAAGCAACGGCCAAGGCCCTTGCCCAGAGTGCCCAGTGGAATGCTGGGATACGGCCAGGGCCTGCTTGGGGGCCAGTCCCGAAGCTGAGCGAGAGAGGAAAGAAGGCCTTTGTCCGGACCAGCCGAAGCTCACCAAGTTAGTAAGCCTGCTGCCCAAATCCAATATCACTTCAGTGTAATGTACAGTGGAAGAGTTACTTTATTACAGCCATGGTCAAACTTTGGCCCTCCAGGTGTTTTGGTCATCAGCTCCCATAATTCCTAACAGCCTATTGGCTGTTAGGAATTATGGGAGCTGAAGACCAAAACACCTGGAGGGCCAAAGTTTGACCATGCCTGCTCTACACTGACCATATAATGCTGTTCAATCTGCATTATAACAGCAGCCTAAATGCTGTTGGAAAGCCTCCACTAGTATTTTTTTGTATATGATTCTGTTTGCTTATTGTATTGTATATGTATGTTTTGGTATGCAGCTTTCCCTTTTACTCTATGTTTCTTGAGGTTGTGGGAGGGGCTGCAGACTACATGATCGGATCTGAGGCTGCTCAGAGCTCAAATTCTATTTTAGAGGACAGACGCCATTAGGCTTTGGACTGTTAAGAGCAAACTCATGTTGCTGTTGATTGTAAGAAAGATGCCCTGTGTTATCTTGGTCAGACCACACCTGGAATCACAACGTGTCCCATTCTGGGTGCCAAAACTGAAGGGATATGTTGACTCTAAGCTGGAATGGAGGAGGGCGACTAAAAGGGCTTGTCTGGAGAACAAGCCCTATGAGGAGCAGCTTAAAGAGCAGAGCATGTTTAGCCTGTAGAAGAGAAGGTGGAGAGGAGAAATGATGGCTCAATATGTGAGGGGAAGTCATAGGGAGGAGGGAGCAAGCTTGTTTTCTGCTGCCCTGGATACTAGGATCCAGAGCAATGGCTTCGAACTACAAGAAAGGAGATTCTGCCTGAACATTAGGAAGAACTTGATGACTGTGAAAAGTGTTCAGCAGTGGAACTCTCTGCTCCGGAGTGTGGTAGAATCTTCTTCTTTGGAGGCTTTGTAACAGAGGCTGGATGGCCATCTGCAAGGGGTGCTTTAAATGCAATTTCTTGCTTCTTGGCAGAAAGGGTTTGGAGTGGATGGCCCACGAGGTCTCTTCCAACTCTAGGATACTGCTTCTATCTGCACAGAGAGTACTTCAAATCTATCTGTAACTGGATTGACAATTTATGTACCTGTATGAATACATGAAGATTGTGAGTAAATTAGATAAGTTACTTTTAATGAAGTCTACTTTATTTTTTGCTTCTTTAGACCATGATATATAAACAAGGTATTTTAGGGGAGAGGAGATATATTTTTAGGCAACTGAAAAGAACACTTCTGAAACTCTGCAGTTTTTGTGCATTGGCATAATTGTCATGAATTACGGTACTTTTCAATAACTTTGAAGCATAGGTTCTTTTTATTGCAATTTCCAGTGTGAGAAGGTATATCAGATTACAGAAAACATTTAGACAAAGAATGACATTGGACATACAGACATACCGATTCTATGCAACTACATTGGATTTACAATTACATTGTTTAAGAAACAAACAAAGGGGAATTACATTTTCACTCAACATTCACACCACATGTACACACATTCATCCACATGCATCCAAATATTACCATATCATTTTTCTCCCTCTTTGGAGAAGCACTTGTTAGGCTAGACCCTGCTTTCCTGCAGCCTGCCAACGTATAGTTCCAAAACTTCCATAACTTCATTACTTAAAAACTTCCATAACTTCATGAGTCACCTAAGGGCTGAGAAAAGCGGTATATAAATGAAGCAAATAACTTCAAAATGCCGAAATGCATCCTTTCCCTAAGAACAATGCCAGGGACCAGATCTTTGTTTTTCATACAGCAGAACCGGACTCCCTGCACAAAATCTAAGACTTCAAAGCACACTTCTTCCTCTTCCCTTGAGAAAGAAGCCCCAAAGTGACCAGACTGCTCTCTTGCAGATCTGCCACTATCCATAGGTACACTCTCTCTCTCCTTCCCATGGAGCATAGCATAGCGGGTGAACCAGACTCCTCAGGTCTGCCACACTTGAGCATTATAGGAATAGTCTGCTGATATAGTCCCAAAGTTGTAAATTAATGATAGAAACTGGATCCATCTCAGTTTCCTGGTCAGATGTTGATCTTCTTGATTGGTGTTGATAAACACAAGGCTTGTGTTGACTTCCTTCTTAAGATAAGGAAGGTTGCAAACATTTCCTTTATCACTGTCCCGTTCTTATCAGGGTTTCTTATTAGCAAGTCCAGCAAGTAGGTAGCTAGTCATTGCAGGCCTTAATATTATACTGGTGTTTCCAAAATTATTAATTCCATTCATACATCCTTTCATTCATTCCCACACATCATATTAAATTCATATTTGTCAAATCTTCACATTGAATTTCTTGTGGCATAATCCTGTTCCTAACAGATCAGAGACAACTAGGTTATCAGTCTAACCAAATTGTCTTGAATAAGTATATGTGGATATATGTGGATGTGGAAGAGAAGATTTTACTCAAATGAGTTTTTGGCTCTTCTCTGGAAGATCATACTTTTACAAAAGGTTATGATTCTCAAATTATTGTGAATGCATTTTTTCTCCAAAAGATTATGGAGATTCTGGTTTTCCAAAAAATGGGGCCTAAGCGTTCTGTCTTTTTCCCCGTTCCAGCCTCTCCTCTCTTCGAGAGCCAGCCCTGGGAGATCCCGCTGTCCGGATGAGGGTCCGATGTGGAACGAGACAACAGATAAAGTCTTCCTTCATCTTCTCAGCATCACTGTTGAAAGAACTCCCAAAAGAAAAGGACCATTTGCTGCTTGAAAGGCAGGTTCTCTGATGAATTGGTGACGGAGGCCTCTCATTCATAGGACTGCCGTAAGTCAAATTAACCGTGGACATCACGCAGTCATCAGTATGTTTCCAGTATGACGGACAAGAAGGACAACCTGGAGTTAAATCTTTGCTCACTGAAGAACTTATTACTACTCAGCCTTGGACTAGTCACAATCTCCCAGATGTCAATTGCAAGAGATGGCTACCAGCCTCACAGGATTGTTTTTTTAAATATATATTTTTATTGATATCTTGCTCTGCGAGCGGATTTATACAATGAATACATGCATGTCGTCTATAACCACATTTCTCTATCCTCTTCCATTGTCTTCCACCTTCTCCCTTTAATATTATCCACTCACTTACCTAGTATGTCATGGAGTTCATTCACTCTTGTTTTTTTCCCCTCCCTCCCCCCTCCCCAGACCCATACCACCGTTTTCATTAGAACTTTAACTCCATCCATGAGCTCAGCTTTTCCCATCTCTGTGCAATATTTACATTGGCTTCATCTCTTTTTATCCATTCCGAATATATGAACAATTTCTCTTTAATTTTCCTCATTTTATCTTCCTTTATATCCTTGCAGGTTACATTTGCAATAATTTCTGATTGACCTGGTCAATCCAATTACCCATATTCCATTTTTTTGCATCTTTACAACCCCTAGCTATTACAGCATTCCCTGCAAGAATCATTGTTTTGAATAAATCTTGATATTTTAGATTGATCTTGTTCCCTAATATTCCCATGAATATATTTCCTCCATATTTACTTGTTTTCTGCTTCCCTGGAGACTAGGACGAGGAACAATGGCTTCAAATTACAAGAGAGGAGATTCCATCTGAACATGAGGAAGAACTTCCTGACTGTGAGAGCTGTTCAGCAGTGGAACTCTCTGCCCCAGAGTGTGGTAGAGGCTCCTTCTTTGGAGGCTTTTAAACAGAGGCTGGATGGCCATCTGTCAGGGGTGATTTGAATGCAATATTCCTGCTTCTTGGCAGGTGGTTGGACTGGATGGCCCATGAGGTCTCTTCCAACTCTTTGATTCTATGATTCTATGAAGTGGTATTTTAAATATTTTCTCCATTTTTCCTGTTATTTGTTCCCAAAATGTTTTTGCCTTTGGGCATTCGCACCACATATGTGCATGCCATCCTTTGCTTAAGCCACAATGCCAACAAGTTGAGCTTTTGCCATTCATCATGTTTGATAGCTGTGCTAGGAAAATCAAAATAGAGAAGTTCAAAGAAATGGAAAGGAAATTTTTATGGAAATGGTATCGTACCCCAGCACAGCCTCACAGGATTGTTGTGAAACTACAAAAATTCTCATAGTGCAATGCTATCCATGTCTACTCCACATGTGGTAGTAGTGTGTAAAAATACAAAAGTTCCATAAAATAATTAAGAAGGAAATGAAGAAGCTAACAGAGATAAATATAGAATGGAACAAGACTCAATTTTTCGTTCTACACCAAAGTAAGTCTCACTCTGGCCAATTGGACTGTTAGTGGTTATAGGATTTGGAGCCCAAACTTATGAGTATGACACAGGAGCCAGCCTGGTGTATTGGTTTGAGCACTGAACCATGATTCTGGGTTTGAATCCCTTCTCAGCTGTGCAAACTCTCTTAGGTGCCTTCTACACTCCCATATATAATCCAGATTATCAGATGACCCACATTATTATGACTATATGAGTCTGCACTGGCATATAATCCAGTCCACTGCAGATAATCTGGATTTTATATGGCAGTGTACAAGGGGCCTCGGTCTTAGAGGAAGGCAAAGGCAACTCACTGTTGTGCCTGAGTCTGAGCCTGAGTCTGAGACTGAATTGTTTGGGCCTGCTGGGCCTTCTGAGCCTGACTTTCTGCAGGATGACAAGGAGGCTGATGGGTTACAGATTCCTGTACATGTTCCAGACGGGGCTGATAGTGTGGCTTCTGAAGAAGAAACAGCAAGCCTGTTCCCTGGGAAAAGGAATGTGCCTTTTGATAGAGATAGTGAAACTCCACACGTGCAGGTGGAGACGCCTTTCGGTTCCCAGAGTGATCAGGCCCAGGTGGGCTAATATAATGAGTTGTTTAGCCTTGAAGATAATAGTGTTTCAATGAGTAGACAGGATCATTTACAATTAAGAATTCACAGAAGCACACATCTTGCAAGCAAGTGTGAAGCCAAAGGTCAACGCAATGCTTTCATGTCAGGGGAACTTATTTAATGATGTAGTCAAAAGGCATTTCTTGTCAGTCCAATGTTGCGCTTTCCCTGTTAACTTCTGTGGAATTACCTTGGCTTTTGCAGAACTCTCCTGGCTTCTTTGGGTCTTGAATTTTGATCCTGATTTTACCTGTCTACCATGGACTCATATTTGACCATTGCTAAGGGATTATGCTTCATGTTATTTGCCTTTGGATCTTGGGAACTTTGCCATTGCATTTAAGACTCTGTTTTGCCTATTGAACTTTTGCATCTTTATTTCTCTGCTTTGATTTTGCTTTTTCTCAATAAACTACAAAAACTACAGCCTTGGTGTGTGGTGGTGTCTTGAGCAAGGTGAAGCTACCCTGAGTTGCGACACTTGCCTCTGAACTAACCTAAGAAACCCCTGTTTACCTTATAGAATTGTCATAAATCAGAAACACTTTCAAGACACAGAAGAATAATAGTTTGATATTGGAGAAATTTAGTTTGGATGTGGAATAAAATCAATAAATTGAAAAGAAGAGCAGGGGAAGACTTTTTTTCATTTTGGGTATATGGTAAACCAGAACATTTCATATAGCATGAATAAACACTATTGTCAATCCAAATTTGCCTGCGTCAGCATCACACGAATGGGTTGCACACCTTCCCCTTGCAAATCTCTGGCTCTTTCTTATTATTTCTTTCTTATTATTTATTTACAGTATTTGTATACCGCTTTTCTCACCCCGAAGGGGACTCAAAGCGGTTTACAAATAAGTAATGGCAAAATTCTATGCCAGTACAAACAATTACAATGATACACTACAACTAGACATAAATCAAGTTAAAAACAATACATCCACAAGCAATGAAACAATTATTAAAACAATAAAACAGTTTCGTCCATCGAATCGCCGTTCCAGTCATTGTCTTTCTGAAATGCTGCATACATTTACTTCTTATACTGTATTTGGTCAGCCACCAGCTCCCTTCCTTATTTTATTTTATTGCAATTTGTTGTTTGGGCTTGGCCTCATGTTGGTTGCCCTGAGTCCCCGTTGGGGGAGATGGTGGTGAGGTATAAATAAAGTTTATTATTATTATATTATATTATTATGGTCTGACCAAGGCAGAATAGAGGGGAAGCATGACTTCCCTGGATCTAGACACTATGCTCCTGGCCTGCATCAATATGAGTCTAGTGTCTAGATCCAGGGAAGTCATGCTACCCATGCTCTATTCTGCCTTGGTCAGACCATAATAATATAATATGGTCAGACCACATTACCTGGAATCACACTGTGTCCAATTCTGGGCACCACAGTTGAAGGGAGATGTTGACTAAGCTGGAATGTGTCCAGAGGAGGACGACTAAAATGATCAAGGGTCTGGAGAACAAGCCCTATGAGGGGAGGCTGAAAGTGCTTGGTATGTTTAGCCTGAGGAAGAGAAGGCTGAGAGGAGACATGAGGGAGGGTCATGCATCAAGAGGTGAGGGGAAGTCATAGAGAGGAGGGAGCAGGCTTGTTTTCTGCTGCACTGGGGACTAGGATACAATGGAACAATGGCTTCAAACTACAGGAAAGGAGATTCCGCCTGAACACGAGGAAGAACTTCCTAACTGTTCAGCAGTGGAACTCTCTGCCCTGGAGTGTGGTGAAAGCTCCTCCATTGAAGGCTTTTGAACAGAGGCTGGATGGCCATCTATCGGGGGTGCTTTGAATGCGATTTTCTTGCTTCTTGGTAGAATGGGGTTGGACTGAATGGCCCATGAGGTCTCTTCCAACTCTAGGATTCTATTATTCTAATCTGTGGATACCAAAGGATGACTGAACACCTCACATAATGAGTATCATGGAGATGGGACCCAAGTCTCAACATGAAATCCATGTCACCTGAAGAAAATCATAGAAAACTTAGAAATTCCCAGAGATGTATTCTCTCTAAATATCTTGAGTCCTCCAGCCACACTGAAGGAGCCAGAGAGGACATTTTCAATCCTATCTGCGAACAATCAAATCTGCAAAAGTCAAAACCGTAAATTGGGAGGGCTGATTGTTGAAACATGCTATGAGGTAGCCACCCAAGCTCTGTTTAAATATTGCCACATTTATATACAGTTGGAACTAGGAAAATTGGGTTTATATATCTGTGGAATGACAGAGTTTTTTTAATACTGGTAGCCAGATTTTGTTCATTTTCATGGTTCCCTCCTTTCTGTTGAAATTGTCCACATGCTTCTTGTGGATTTCAATGGCTTCTCTGTGTCGTCTGACATGGTGGTTGTGAGAGTGGTCCAGCATTTCTGTGTCCTCAAATAATAGGCTGTGTCCAGGTTGGTTCATCAGGTGCTCTGCTATGGCTGATTTCTCTGGTTGAAGGAGTCTGCAGTGCCTTTCATGTTCCTTGATCCGTGTCTGGGCAATGCTGCGTTTGGTGGTCCCTATGTAGACTTCTTGTCCACAGCTGAATGGTACACGGAAGACTCCTGCAGAGCGAGAGGATCCCTCTTGTCCTTTGCTGAACGTAGCATTTGTTGGATTTTCTTGGTGGGTCTGTAGATAGTTTGTATGTTGTGTTTCCTCATCAGTTTCCCTCTGCGGTCAGTGGTTCCCTTAATATATGAACAAAATCTGGCTACCAGTATTAAAAAACTCTAAAATTACAACAGCAAAACTACAAAGAGGAGACAGCTAATCACCTCTCAACCAAAGATTCCCTCAGGTACTAACAAGCCACACCAAAAAAAAAAAACTGCCAGGCCATCAAATGTTAATCAAGGTGGTCCCCTGAAACATTCACACCTACTCCAGCAGACAAGGGTTCTTTGTCCCACCCTGGTCATTCCACAGATATATAAACCCAATTTTCCTAGTTCCAACAGACCTCACTACCTCTGAGGATGCTTCCCATAGATGCAGGCGAAACGTCAGAAAAGAATGCCTCTAGAACATGGCCATATAGACTGAAAAAACCTACAACAACCCAGTGATTCCAGCCATGAAAGCCTTTGACAATACATTGAACCTTGCATTATATTCCATTGTAAGCATGTGTGTTGGCAGCTGTGTGCCTCCATGTGGCCAGATGCCTTCAGTACATCCCTGCATTGATGTCTTTGTGTCTAGGGAAGGAGAAGTGATGGAAGAAGTCTATTGACTCCTATTTTAATGAAATGCAATCCAAAGGAGTGGTCCCTGTATCAGGGCCGGTCACCAAGCCATTGGCTGCCAGTCTGCAAAGAATTTCCAGATAAGGGGAAAGCTTATTTATTGATAGATTTTAACACAATTATAATTCTCAACAACAGCAGAGAAAAACAGAACGCGTCAGAGAATCATAGAATCATAGAATCAAAGAGTTGGAAGAGACCTCCTGGGCTATCCAGTCCAACCCCATTCTGCCAAGAAGCAGGAATATTGCATTCAAATCACCCCTGACAGATGGCCATCCAGCCTCTGTTTAAAAGCTTCCAAAGAAGGAGCCTCTACCACACTCCGGGGCAGAGAGAAAAAGGAAGAGATACTCATATAAGAAGGTACAATATCTACGATTAAAACTGAACTAAAATTAAAACACAATACTAAAACCGTAGCTAAAACAGCTAGCTCAAACTAAAACACTAAAGAGCTTTAACCCCACAATTCAAACTGGAATGGGAAAAAGAAAAAAAGAAAAAGAGAAGAGAAATACAGTGTGTCCTTGGTATCCACTGGAATTTGATTCCCTGTGGATACCAAAATCTGTGATCAAATCCCATTATATTCAATGGCATACATATATAACACTATGTAATAAAACTGGAAAAAATCTGTTCCTGATTGGAAAGTGTTATTTCCTGTTTGATTGCACTGTCCTTCCTTTGAAAGTATGAGGGGCGTTCATTAAAGGTTTCCTCCAACCCACTTCCTGTGGACTGAGAACAATGAAACTTGGCACAGTTATAAATCCTTCTCTCTATAGATGCCACCTAAGGACACACACTTCTCCCATCTTTTTAAGCAACTGTAAACACATTGCTTGTAGAAGTCAACAGGTTGCTCCAAAAGGCACGTTGTGACTTTGGAAATCAGAGTCTCATCATCTGAGAAATGCTTGCCCTTCAAAAATAACTTCATTCTTGGAAAGAGGTGGAAGTCCGATGGTGTGAGGTCAGACGATCCCCAGACGATCTTAACACCCTAGCTGGTTCATAGGAGGAGATGCTTTTGGACAGGTAAGTTGGGCGAGAACTGTTTAGGGCTTTATAGGCTAAAGATTAAAGATTTCCCCCGACCCACTTCCTCCCGTCCCCGCCAGACATATTAGATGCAGTAGAAATTCCAAGCCACAGGAACATGCTTCTATTTGGGCAACATGTGAGCTGTGAACTGGTGCACTGTCTTGCAGAAGGTGGACACCTTTGGCGAGCATGCCACATTGTCTCTTGGTTTTGATGGCCTCCCGCAATTTCCGCAGTAGTGAAGCATAGTATGCCCCAGTGATCATGGTACTCTTTGCTAGGAAATCCATCAATACTCCTCCGTGCTGGTGAGTATCACCTTGCCTGCTGAGAGTTGGGCATGTCCCTTCTTTGGAGGCGGTGAGTCATGATCCTTCCATTCCATTGACTAACCCTAACTCTAACCATCTGCTCTCAGGCACTATTGTCAATGATATGCCATGGAAACCAGGAGGACTTTGTTCACACAGGATGAAAGCTGGGTCCATCGCTATGATCCTAAGACTAAAGTCTAGTCAATGGAATGGAAGGATCATGACTGTTGACCAAATCCTCCTGGTTTCCATGGCACATCATTGACAATAGAGCCTGTGGTCTTGGATGATTTTCTCCACAGACCCCACACTAACCTTGAACATTTTGAGCTAGGTGGTGAATGGTTACCTAACGATTTTCCAAAATGGTGACCTCCACTTGCTGGATGGTGTGGTCATCAATGCCAGAGTGGGGTCGCCCTGGAATTGGAGCTGTTTGAACCAAAGTCCGACCACATTTGAATTGATGATTTCAGTTCGTGAATACATCATCTGATGGGGAATCATCAACATGAACTGAGTTGTAAATTAGCACATAACCTATAGAGACTTATATCATCACACATGTGCAGTTTCAGCATCCTGTGATAAATAGAAGCGTGTCAGGGGAAATCTTTAATGAACCCTCTCGTAGTTGCTTTACTCCAGAAACCTTGTTTTTATGGCTGCCGCAAACAATGTTGATTTGGTTGAGACTCTAGGAGATATTCAATGAAAAACTATTGCAAAATATGCTGCAGGATGTCCTGCAAAAACTCCCTGTGTGATCAGTCTGTTGACAAAGTCCTCCTAAATCTTTTCCATATTTTAATAGAATCAATTAGGAAATAACATGTATAACCCAGGAACAAAAATCGTCTTACAGAATGTAATCAATATATATGGCAATCCTTATATTAAATGCCAAAAAACTCATGAGAGCGTTTGGAAATCTATAAAATGCCAGGAGGCTACCTACAGTAGCGGATGCCTACACATCTGGGTAGGAAAAACCTAAATTTGCTTTTTAACATTTCCCCCCAAGTATTTTTGACCTGTGGTGGGTTGGATCCATGGAAGTAGAACATGTGGATAGGAAAAGCCATCTATACTATTTTATCATCACATAGCAGACTCAATAGACCTATCAGAACTTCTAAGAACCACAGCCTCCAATGATTGTCTCCATAAACAGGTTCTAGTATTTCACAAAGCCTTTTATTGGTTTTCAGACCCACCTCAGTTCTGTGATTTGGGTTTACACAAGTGAATAAGGAGGTAAACTGGCCAATACTTATTTCCATTTCTCCAACGGATGTCTCAATAACCATTGGAGTCCTCCATGTGTCAGATGTCTCCACTTCTTGGCTGCTTTCTCCTTCCCGTCACTCAGTAGAAGACCTTCTCCAGATAGGTGTTCAAGAACATCCCTCTGGGGTCGAGCTTCTCCCGGATGGAGCAGAACTTCTGGAAGCTGGGGTACATCTGCTCAAAGTCTCTCCGGACACATGTGTGGGCCTGGCAGCAAAAGACACAATGTTAGAGTGCTGACTTTCTATCTCCCTGGTACTACAGAATGCCAAATCATGTATTCAAAGATTATGTCCTACCAAAGATGACTCATGGTGGGTGCATATGGACCAGGCATGGGGCAACTTCGGCCGTCCAGGTGTTCTGGATGTCAACTCCCACAATTTCTAACAGCCAGTAGGCTGTTAGGAATTGTGGGAGTTGAAGTCAAAACACCTGGAGGGCAGGAGTTGACCCATACCTGGTCTTGATACACCCTCAGTCAATGGTCAGAATGTGGAAATGTAGACTGGTTAAGTTCAATCAAGAACAAGCCTACTAAATCTATTGTTAGATGTAAATGAAATTAAATCCTGTTGATGATAATGGTGGTGGTGATGATGTTGTTGTTGTTGATGTTGTTATTATTTCCCTCTTAAACCACACTCAAAATAGTTTTAACTTTTGTTTTGCGAATTGAGAACATACTGCAAGTTGCTTCTGGTATGAGAGAATCGGCCATCTACATAGATGTTGCCCATGGGATGCCTGGATGTATTACCATCCTGTGGGAGGCTTCTCTCATGTCCCCGCATGGGAAGCTGGGACTGACAGACTGGAGCTCACTCCATCTCGTGGATTCAAACTGCTGACCTTCAGGTCAGTGGTTCAGCCAGCACAAGGGTGTAACCCATTGCGCCACTGTGTCTCCTAATAGTTTCAGCAATTCAATAGAAACTTCATTTTTGTGGCTGCCACAAAATACATTGAATTGGTTGAGACTCAATGAGATATACATTGAAAAACTAGAGCAAGGTGTGCTGCAAGATGTCCCCCAAGAACAAAGTTTTTTCAGTTTAATAACCTTTTCCATGTTTTTATGATAGAACTAATTAGGAAATGACATTTATAATGCAGGAACAAAAATTGTGTTATATAGTGCTCTGGTGCTGAAGACAAGGGTTTGGTTTCCCGCTTGGCCACGGAAAGCCACTGGGTGATATTGGACAAGTCAAACTCTCTCGTCTCCAGAAAAGCTGGTGATAGGTTTGCTTTAGAGTTGGCATAAGTCAGAGACAACTTGGATTTGAACTCTGATTTCCAGATTCCTCATCCAAATCACTACACCACACTGATTTGCAATCGCAGAAGTTCCATAGGATTTCTTTTTGAGATAAGAAAGGGTTACTCTTGTATGTGTCTCTGGAACAAGTATGTGTGAAGGAGAAGGAGGAAGATCTCACACAGCTGCAGGGCAAACGTAGCTGCCCTGAACGATCTTAATTAATGGGCAAATGGTGCAAGTATCACAATTTCTTGCGTTCCCCTCATTGCTCATCAATGGAGGTTCCCAGGTGCGGTGTTAAAAAATTAATTAGTTTTACGCATGCAGAAACATGTTGAGAATGACTGCACATTGGAAGAAGGTTTCTCATCTATCTTTGGAAAGTTGGTGAAGCAGATGGTGGAACTTTGTCCTATGGAGAAGAAAGTGACAGCTCACTCTAAAAGGTTTGAATAGCATATAGAAGGCTGAAAATGACAGCTTGATGCTATTGGTCCTCTAAAGTCAAATGTAAATTCTGGAAAAAATGATCTCTCAATTTTTGGATCCATGCCTTGAATATGTCATTTAGATTTCCTTCCTTCCTCTCTTTCTCTTTCCCCTTCTTCCTCCTCCTCCTCTTCCTCTCCACCTGCCTGCCTGTCTTTTGTATCAATTACATTTTTGTTTTTTTGTTTTTTGGGTGGGGGGAGCTTTCCATTTTGTGCCATCTGAATGGATGTTACGAAATGAAAACACAAATGAAATGAATGGGACAATTTTTGGGCCCCTGACTAGTGGAGACGTGGCTGCCAAGATAGTGGAAATGGTCAATATTTTCTAATGTTACACCATTAAGCTGTATTTCTGGAATTGCAGATGGATTGGATGGTGATTGCTGGTGTCGCACCTCAGAGTAGAACCTTACTTACTTACTTAGGCGATCCCTCGCTTTCCGAGGATGATTGTCTTCCAGTATTCTTGTGGGTCTGTATGTGGCTGTGGAGCCCTATTCTTGCTCTGCATCTTCTTCCGCAGTGAGGGCATTGGTTTCCAGGTGGAAGGCGGTCCCGGTCGGGGTTGGCTTGACATGCCTTCCTCTTGGCACGCTTCTCCCTTTCGCCCTCCATTCGTGCCTCTTCAAATTCAGCAGCACTGCTGGGCACAGCTGACCTCCAGCTGGAGAGGTCAAGGGCCAGGGCTTCCCAGTTCTCATTGTCTATGCCACAGTTTTTCAGGTTGGCTTTGAGCCCATCTTTAAATCTCTTTTCCTGTCCTCCAACATTCCGTTTTCCGTTCTTGAGTTCGGAGTAGAGCAACTGCTTTGGGAGACGGTGGTCAGGCATCCGGACAACGTGGCCGGTCCAGCGGAGTTGGTGGCAGAGGACCATCGCTTCAATGCTGGTGGTCTTTGCTTCTTCCAGCACGCTGACGTTTGTCCGCTTGTCTTCCCAAGAGATTTGCAGGATTTTCCGGAGGCAGCGCTGATGGAATCGTTCCAGGAGTTGCATGTGACGTCTGTAGACAGTCCACGTCTCACAGGCATATAGCAGGGTTGGGAGGACAATAGCTCTATAAACAAGCACCTTGGTATCCCTACGGATGTCCCAGTCCTCAAACACTCTCTGCTTCATTCGGAAAAATGCTGCGCTCAGAGCTCAGGCGGTGTTGTATTTCGATGTCGATGTTGACTTTGGTGGAGAGGTGGCTGCCAAGGTAGCGGAAATGATCAACATTTTCTAATGTTACACCATTAAGCTGTATCGCTGGCATTGGAGAGGGATTGGCTGGTGACTGCTGGAACAGCACAGAGTAGAACCACCTTGCTTACGACACCAAAGAACACACCAGCAGTAGTCTTTATAGTTTATTAAAATAAAAGATAAAAAGTTCAAAAAGCAAAAGTATATTTCAAAAGATCAATCCAAGGTAACATAGGCAAACAAGGCATAGGCAAGGCAAGGTCCCATGGGAACATGACAAAGTCCTGAAACATGAGCATGAACAGCTGCAAGATAAATCCAAAGTCTCTTCGTTGAAGTGGGAAGTTGCTCTGACACTGAGGCACATTCAAACAGTCTGTTTAATACTCTTTGGATAACATGAAGGCCCCGGACCTCTCTCTCTCTCTTGCCTCCCGGCGATCCTGATACTCCTTCGCACTTTCAATTCCAATCAATCAGCTCGATCTAAACCACCAGCCCCATCAAGGTCAAACCCCTTGTTAGCTGGCTGAGAACCATCCTCCCTAATTCCTTCACCAGGCACCTGGCTCTCACACTCCAGTAGTTTCACTTTCCCCAGCGTCAACCCTTGCTGTGGGAAACACAGGAACATCCTTACTCTGAATCGGAATCTCATCATCCCCATCAAAATCATTGACACCATCACTCTGTGAGTCAAGCTGAGTCACAACAGCTGGAAAGCACTTTGGTTTTCTTGATGTTCAAGAGAGGCCGAGCTTCTCATATGCTTCTGTGAAGGTGTTTAGAGTGGCTTGTAGGTCTTCTTCTGAATGCGCACAGACTATAATAATCGTAATATAATAAAACTTTATTTATACCCCGCCACCATCTCCCCAAGGGACTCAGTGCGGCTTACATCAGGCCAAGCCCACAATACAACAATACAAGCAATACAAGCAATAACATATACAATACAAAGCAATTAAAATAAATCTCATACACAAATAGCATAAACACTGAACAAGGTACAGTCCACAATTAAAATCTATGGCTGGGCCAAATGTAAATGAAGATTAAAATATAATGCTAGGCATGAACAAGATAAAGGAGGTGGGGCGTTGATGGAGACATACAAGCAGACCTAAATCAATATAAAGTGCTTTTGGAGGACATAATGCTAAGGGTTCATTATTCTGGGAAGGCACACTGGAACAACCACCTCTTCAAGCTCCTCCTCAAGACTGCCAGAGATGGGGCATGCCTGATGTCCTTAGGAAGTGAGTTCCAGAGCCGAGGGGCCACCACCGAGAAGGCCCTCTCTCTCGTCCCCACCAAACGCGCTTGCGATGCAGGTGGGAGCGCTAGTAGGGCTTCTCCAGATGATCGAAGAGATCGTATGGGTTCGGCTCAGAGATGCGGTCACGCAGGTAGGCAGGTCCCAAACGGATCAGGGCTTTGTAGGTAAGAACCTACACCTTGAATTGGGTCCGGAAAATGAATGGCAGCCAGTGGAGCTCCTTAAACAGGAGGGTTGACCGCTCCCTGTAAGGAGCACCAGTTAACAACCTGGCCGCCGCCCGTTGGACCAACTGAAATTTCTGAACCGTTTTCAAGGGCTGCCCCACGTAGAGTGCATTACAGTAGTCCAATCTAGAGGTGACTAAGGCCAGATCCGCCTTCGCAAGGTATGGTCGCAGTTGGCGCACAAGTCTTAACTGTGCAAAGGCCCTCCCGGCCACCGCCGACGCCTGAGACTCAAGCGTAAGAGATGAGTCCAGGAAGACACCCAAACTGCGGACCTGTGACTTCAGGGGGAATGCAACCCCGTCCAACACAGGTTGCCACCCTGGTCTACGATCGACCAGGAGGACCTCTGTCTTGTCGGGATTAATCTTCAGCTTGTTCCTCAGCTATGTTATCATCAGCATATTTGAGTTGGAGCACAGAGAAACAATGCCTTTCTCAAATAACCCGGGTACCGCTGAGTCCCCAAGCTAGTCTATAATAAAATACATTGTTTTGGTTTAAAACCAACCTTTGCCCAGTGTGGCCTGCCTCCAACCTTCTTCATGATGCCCTCGTAGGCCAGCCAGTAGTCAAGGCGAGGCACATCTTTCCCATAGGGCCTAAAAGAGGACAAAGAAGATGCATTGGGATGGGTAACTAACTTCCGTCCCTTGCAAGACACTGTTGGGAGCATGTGAGAGTCATTTGAAAGACAAGAAGAGGAAACAAAGTTCCAAATAAACATTTAGAAGGTCTTGGCTTGTCCGCTCCTGCATTGCAGAAGAGGGTGGACTGGATGGCCTTTGGGGGTCCCTTCCAACTCTAGGACTGTATGAATGCCTCCCACTGGGCCACCTGATTCATACCTGTACATGATGATGTTGACATAGCAGCTGTCCCTCTGGAAGCAAGGGCTCAGCAGGATGTTGTCCCCCCGCGTGAAGCGCACTTCCACTGGGTAATGGGCCACGATTTTGGGGTTGCTCTCCAGGACCCCCTTCAACTCCAGGAGGGCCTCTTTTGTTTTCTCACTGCAAAAGATGTAGCAGTTCGAGCCATGAAGAGACAATGGTGGAGTGTATCTGGACCAGGCATGGGCCAACTTTGGCCCTCCTCCAGGTGGTTTGGACTCCAACTCCCACAATTCCTAACAGCCGGTAGGCTGTTAGGAATTGTGGGAGTTGGAGTCCAAACCACCTGGAGGAGAGCCAAAGTTGGCCCACAATCTGCTCTGCTCTTGGTGTCTTACATGGGAATAGCCCAGTCTTGGACATGCTGCTTGAAACGGCATTCGTAGTTGAAGATCTTGTAGCTCAGGTTGACGTTCTCCACTTTGCCAGTGAAGAGAAGCCAGAAGAAGAAGCGGTTGAGCCAAGCGACCAGGCATGGCAGGAATGTGCTAAAGGAAGAAGGGGGAAAACAGATTGAGCTGGGAAACAGAGATCCTGGAAAAAAAATGCTAGCAAACAGGATTGCTTTGTGTTTTCTGGATTTCAGAAGCCCTTTTTGCAAATTGCTAACGCAAACGGATGAAGCCAGCATGGTGCAATGGTTTGAGCTTGGAACAGGACTTTCTGAGACGAGGGTTTCAATACCTGTTCAGCCATAGCAATCCAGTGACATTACAAAAAGCTAAAAGATTCTGGATTTTGGATCAGAACATCTACAAGCCACTCTAAACACCTTCGCAGAAGCATACACTGGCCTGTCACTGAACATCAAGAAAACCAAAGTGCTGTTTCAGCAGTCACCAGCCAATCCCTCTCCAATGCCAGAGATACAGCTTAATGGTATAACATTAGAAAATGTTGACCATTTCCGCTACCGTGGCAGCCACCTCTCCACCAAAGTCAACATCGACACCGAAATACAACACCGCCTGAGCTCTGCGAGTGCAGCATTTTTCCAGAATGAAGTAGAGAGTGTTTGAGGACCAGGACATCCGTAGGGATACCAAGGTGCTTGTCTATAAAGCTATTGTCCTCCCAACCCTGCTATATGCCTGCGAAACGTAGACTGTCTACAGACGTCACATGCAACTCCTGGAACGATTCCATCAGCGCTGCCTCCGGAAAATCCTGCAAATCTCTTGGGAAGACAAGCGGACAAACGTCAGTGTGCTGGAAGAAGCAAAGACCACCAGCATTGAAGCGATGGTCCTCCAACATCAACTCCGCTGGGCCGGCCACGTTGTCCGGATGCCTGACCACCGTCTCCCAAAGCAGTTGCTCTACTCTGAACTCAAGAACGGAAAACGGAATGTTGGTGGACAGGAAAAGAGATTGAAAGATGGCCTCAAAGTCAACCTTAAAATCTCTGGCATAGACACTGAGAACTGGGAAGCCCTAGCCCTTGACCGCTCCAGCTGGAGGTCAGCTGTGACCAGCAGTGCTGCAGAATTCGAGGAGGCACGAGTGGAGGGTGAAAGAGAGAAACGTGCCAGGAGGAAGGCGCGTCAAGCCAACCCCGACCGGGACCGCCTTCCACCTGGAAACCAATGCCCTCACTGCGGAAGAAGATGCAGAGCAAGAATAGGGCTCCACAGTCACATACGGACCCACAAGGAAACCCATAATGGAGGACCATCTTACTCGTCCAACGAGGGATCGCCTAAGTAAGTAAGTAAGTACAATCTGACACAAACTAGTAGCAGACCCTTTTTTGTTTGTTGCATGCCTTTTACACAAACAAAACAACACAACTCCCAGTGGTTCTATTCATTTAGTGTCCACTAGATAGCAGCACAAGACCAGGCATCTATTTTGATCTTGGATTTATATTGGAAGTAAATGTGTTTATTAAATATGGTTGATTGAAATTACAAGTAGGAAAATTCTGCAGCTCTTCAGAAATTGTTGGGTTGCAACTCGCACCAGCCTTAGCGAGAATAGTCAACGCTTATGCACAATGGATTTTGCAGTCCTGTAAGACCTGGAGGGATATGTATTGTTTGCCTTCGGTTTCCAAAATAATACTATAGCTTTCAATCTTAAGTTTCAATTGTTTTAACACTGCCATCGCACTGTGTTACTTATTGGAGTTCTTGGTATTATTTCTCCTATCAGCCACAACATCCCCACCTCTCTCCTTCCTGATACTGTGTTGCAAATCTGCACACAAACTCACCTGATCCACAGAAGGAACTCCAACAGGTAATACCCCATGGCGTAGTCCCAAAACCAGTTTGCAGAAGAGCAGGGCGGCTGGAAAGAGCAAGAGACGCAGGTCAGATATTAATCTCTGAGCAGATTTGGGGGGTCCTCCAGGCTCAACGGAGCACCTCTCCCGTTTTTTTCAATATTTTCAATTTGTAATAGCTTAATTCTATACCTTTGTGTATTGTTCTATATTACATTATGATTATTTTGATTTTCTAAGCTGCCTTCACCCCAACCTGGGAGGAAGACACTATATCGATAAAGGTAATAAGGGAACATCTCCATTGTTGAATGAATGCAGTTTGATGCCACTTGAACTGTCACACCTCAATGCTTCGGGATCCTGGGAGTTGTAGTTTGTCAATAACAACAATAACACTTTATTTATTACCCATCTCTCTTTGTGGTTTGGGGCAGCAACAATACCAGCACCCTTGCACAGAAAAGGATCAAGACCTTGCAAAACTACAACTCCCAAGTTTCCATAGCACTGAACCGTGGCATACATTCAATGTGCATTCAGTATGCATTCTGTGCATCCTTGCACAGAAAAGGATCAAGACTTTGCAGAACTACAACTCGCAAGCTTGCATTGCATTGAGCCACAGCATGCCTTCAATGTGCATTCAGCATGCATTCTGTGCACCCTTGGACTGAAAAGAATCAAGACCTTGCAAAACGACAACTCCCAAGTTTCCATAGCATTCAGCCACAGCATGCATTCAATGTGCATTCTGAGCACCGTTGCACAGAAAAGGATTGAGATTTTGCAAAACTACAACTCCTAAGTTTCCACAGCATTGAGCCACAGCATGCATTCAATGTACACCCTATGCACCCTTGCACAGAAAAGGATCAAGACCTTGCAAAGCTACAACTCCCAAGTTTGCATTGCATTGATCCACAGCATTCATCCAGTGTGGTTGTGCCCAATAACAAGAACAAAAACATCAGCCTTCTGCCTCCAAATTCCCCACATTCTGCACAACCCAAAGTGAATCGATGGCAGCTCTTGTGGAAGCCAATCCACAAGTCTTAGTTCTCGACTTGTCTAATTAATAAATCGAGCAGTTATTTCAATTGATGTGGGGCTATGCCCTCCCTCCCTCTGGCTCTGCCAACAGACTTCTTTTCCTTGCCTGCGAAGTAGTGGATTCACCTTGTTGGTATGATCTTGGTAGATGACGCTGACATTCTCGCTGTGAGGGAACCAAAGGAAGCGGAAATATTCCGACTTCTTCTGGTGGGTCTCCAAATTGTCTAGAACCTGGGAAAGACAATAGCCAAGAGAGAGAGAGAGAAAGAGAATTTTCGTAGTCATATATCGGTTTTTCATGTTTCTGTTCCTGGAGAAAAGTTGGCTGGATGTGTGTTGAGAACACCTGCAGTTCAGGGGATTGGAATTGGAGAATGTTAATGTAATAAAGAGTTAAGGTAAAATTGCAAACCAATACACACATATACAATAAAGTAAGCAATCTGATTTAAACAAATAACTAGTGGAGGCTGTAATTAGAGAAATTAGGTACCACTAAAGCGGGGGAGGTGTTTTACAATGCCATAAAGAAAAAGAAGATCAGAAAATGCTGGAAAGAGGAAGTCCTGATTGATGGCTCTTCTTCATAGAGGATGGAGTGACAGCACCCCCTGTGGACTCGAGCCCAACCGTCCATGGCATCAAAACAACACCTCCTTCTGTTCTGTCTGTTTGCTGTCTATACAAACGGCATTGAATGTTTGCCATGTATATGTACTTATGATCCTCCCTGAGTCCCCTTCGGAGTGAGAAGGGCGGAATATAAATAAAGTGTTATTATTCAGGGGGAGTGTAACCCCATCCAACACAGGCTGTAACCCTATATCCTGTTTGGCCTTTCGACTGACCAGGAGGACCTCTGTCTTGTCTGGATTTAATTTCAATTTGTTAGCCCTCATCCAGTGCAACACAACTGCCAAGCACTGATTCAAGGTCTGGACAGCCTCCTTAGTGACAGGTGGGAAGGAGTGACAGATTTGGACGTCATCTGCGTACAGATAACACGGTACTCTGAAACTGCCAGCAGCTTCATGTAGATGTTAAACAACATCGGGGACAATACTGAGCCCTGAGGGACCCCACACGACAAAGGCTGTGGACTCGAACAGGTATCACCCAATAACATCTTCTGGGACCATCCCTCTAGTAAGGACCAGAGCCACTGCAAAGCAGTACCTCCAAGTCCCATCCCCACGAGGCGTCCCAGAAGGATACTGCGGTCGACGGTATCGAAGGCCGCTGAGAGGTCCAGCAGAACCAACAGCAACACACTCCCCCTGGCTAGTTCTCGGTGTAGATCATCTACTAAGGCAACCAAGACTGTTTCAGTCCAATGTCCCGGCTTAAAGCTAGACTGTGCCGGATCTAGATAATTGGTGTCTACCAGGAACCCTTAGAGTACAAAGAGGCATCTTTCATGGAGGAATCATAGAATCATAGAATCAAAGATTTGGAAGAGACCTCCTGGGTCATCCAGTCCAACCCCATTCTGCCAAGAAGCAGGAATATTGCACTCAAATCACCCTGACAGATGGCCATCCAGCCTCTGTTTAAAAGCTTCCAAAGAAGGAGCCTCCACCACACTCCGGGGCAGAGAGTTCCACTGCTGAACGGCTCTCACAGTCAGGAAGTTCTTCCTCATGTTCAGATGGAATCTCCTCTCTTGTACTTTGAAGCCATTGTTCCGTGTCCTAGTCTCCAGGGAAGCAGAAAACAAGCTTGCTCCCTCCTCCCTATGGCTTCCTCTCACATATTTATACATGGCTATCATATCTCCTCTTATCCTTCTCTTCTTCAGGCTAAACATGCCCAGCTCCTTAAGCCGCTCCTCATAGGCCTTGTTCTCCAGACCCTTGATCGTTTTAGTCGCCCTCCTCTGGACACATTCCAGTTTGTCAATATCTCCCTTGAATTGTGGTGCCCAGAATTGGACACAATATTCCAGGTGTGGTCTAACCAAAGCAGAATAGAGGGGTAGCATGACTTCCCTAGATCTAGACACTATGCTCCTATTGATGGAGGCCAAAATCCCATTGGCTTTTTTTGCCGCCACATCACATTGTTGGCTCATGTTTTAACTTGTTGTCCACGAGGACTCCAAGATCTTTTTCACACGCACTGCTCTTGAGCCAGGCATTGTCCCCCCATTGGAGAGTAGCACTATGTAACAAATATTGAAACATTTTCTGTTCCTGGTTTGAAAGTGTCATTTCCTGTTTAATTGTGTAGTCCTTACTTTGAAAGTAGTTGTTCTGCTCCAGAAACTTTGTTATTGTGGCTGCCACAAAGTATGTTGAAGACTCAATGAGACATTCATTGACAAGCTATAGCAAAATGTGCTATAGGATATCCCTCCACAACAACGTTTTTGCAGTTTAATAAACTTTTCCTATGTTTTTATGATAGAATCAATTAAGAAACGACATTTATAACCCAGGAACAAAAAATGGTGTTACACTCATTGATGCCCAATGAGTCTGGAATATCTCCATTGCCTTTCCCCCCTTAACACAACTACCTTTCTGATTTGCTTTAGAGGAGACTAATGAACCCAATATCAATACAGATCCAACATTTTGGGCCCTGCTAAATAGTTTCTAATTTTTAGGAGGAAGAAATAAGGTGATGGAGGGAAGGGAGGTCACTTTGAGATGGAAAAAAAAAACAGAGTGGGAGAACAAAGGAATCCTTATTAAATGCTTTGTGTCACTGAGGACTATTAGTACGACAAATGTTGGCTGCCAAGGAAAGGTCCGGTAATAAGGATGATTAAAAGGAAATCTTCCCTTCTGTTCCCTCTCCCACGCGCCAGGTAGGCTGCTTTATCTCCTAATGAGCTCAGAAGATTTCTCTTCTTCTTTCACTCCTTGTCAGACTCGGAGACAGAGCAGGAATATCTTTTTGCGGTTTGGAAACAAACCCCCAGAATAACATAAGAAGAATCTGAAATTGCCAGAGTGCATGCATTTTTATTGATCACAGAAGCTATACTGGGTTTGGTTAGGTTTCAGATGGTAGCTCTCTCTCTCTTTCTCTCTCTCACACACGCACACACGTAAAGTGAGATCAGGGTCTCTGAGGATTACATGGGAAGGAATCCCACTGGAGCATTGCAGCACACCCAAATACCTGGGAGTCACTCTGGACCATGCTCTGACTTACAAGAAGCACTGCCTGAACATCAAGCAAAAAGTGGGCGCTAGAAACAATATCATATGAAAGCTGACTGGCACAACCTGGGGATCACAACCAGACACAGTGAAGACATCTGCCCTTGCGCTATGCTACTCTGCTGCTGAGTACGCATGCCCAGTGTGGAACACATCTCACCACGCTAAAACAGTGGATGTGGCTCTTAATGAGACATGCCGCATTATCTCGGGGTGTCTGCACGCTACACCACTGGAGAAATTACACTGTTTAGCCAGTATTGCACCACCTGACATCCTCCGGGAAGTAGCAGTGAAAGGACCAAGGCAGTGACATCTCCAGTTCATCCCCTGTTTGGGTATCAGCCAGCATGTCAATGACTCAAATCAAGAAATATTTTTCTAAGATCTATAGAGACACTTGCTGGAACACCTCAGCAAGCGAGAGTCCAAAAGTGGCAGGCTCAAACCCAGAACCTCAACCAATGGCTGATACCAAATGAGAGACTCCTCCCTGGGCACACAGAAGACTGGGCGACTTGGAAGGCGCTGAACAGACTGCACTCTAGCACCACAAGATGCAGAGCCAACCTTAAGAAATGGGGCTACAAAGTGGAATCCACAACATGTGAGTGTGGAGAGGAGCAAACCACTGACCACCTGCTGCAATGCACCCTGAGCCCTGCCACATGCACAATGGAGGACCTTCTTGCGGCAGCACCAGAGGCACTTCAAGCGGCCAGATACTGGTCAAAGAACATTTAATCAACTACCAAGCTTGCACACTTTGTGTTTTGTCTGTCTGTTTGTTTGTTCTGTTCTGTTAGAAATGTAATACAATTGACTGGTTGCCCCTGACACGATAAATAAATAGGGTCTCCATATAAGCCTAGGAAGCCTCGGAGACAGCTATGGCATCCACACAGAGCTGGAAATATTAAGTTAGTCTAGTTCATTTCAGAAGAGCAGAACTGGAATCCTAGACTGAAGGCAATACAAGAGAAATGGCCCTAGGAGTCATGGACCACAAGATGAACAAGAGTCAACAGTGTGGGGCAGCAACTAAAAAGGCTAACGTGATTCTAGGCTGCATCAAGTGGAATCCATCACTGTCTGGGATGGATTCTACTTGACTGAGTTTCCTTCTCTGAAGGTTTTTAAGAAGAGGCTGGATGGCCATCTGTTGAGAGTGCTTGGATTATGTTTCCTTGCATAGCAAAAGGGGGTTGGACCAGATGGCCCTTGGAGTCCCTTCCAGTTCTGTGATTCTATATACTTTGAAAGTCAAGATTGGGAGAAGTACGTGGCTACATCTCCATAATCAGATGCACAATATTGTCATCACCGGTGATGTCTTCAGATGATCAGAGCAAACTCAACACTCAGTTTTTGTCATGTGATGCTGGCCATGAAGTTTCCAAATCACAACCTCCTTGAACTGCTGCAAGTTAGATAGCAAGTGTCCCAGAAGCAAAGAAAATACAGTAGAGTCCTTTCACAGCAAAAACATGCTTTGGCCCGTGTGACGGCGCGAGTGGCGCCACCTATGTATAGAACTGTTAGTTGTAAGATTTAAACTGTTTACCCTGCTTATGTATAGTTGTATGGATTGGTTGCTTGTAGCTGTCAATCAGTACTGTTTTGTTCCACCTCTTCCTGCAAGAGGGAAGAACTTCCTTTTTCTTTTCATTCTGCCATTAGAGTTCGTACCAGATGGACGTGAGTAAAATACTTGTTTCTAAAGGACCCTGATTTAAGTTACCTCTTAGCACCAGTTCTGAGGTTTTTTACCCTTGGGACTCATGCTTTATGTCCAGATCATCCTGGACAATTATTGAGGAGACCCAGGCGCCTTCAAGCCGGTTCTTTTGGCACCAAAGGAAGATCCTGAATCTTCTAAACATAGGCCATCTGAACTGGGGTTGTGGTTTGCTCCGGCATTCACAGCCATTGAGGAAAGAGGAAACTTGGTGAGGCTTCTCAGCTTCAAACCCCTTGGACCCAGGACTAATAGAGACTGTAACGTATGTTTTCCTTCACCCCTCTAAAGTTTTCCAGCTCATTGCTTTGAAGAAATGACTT